AGATGAGAATGTGTTTCTCCAGGTTAGACCTGTTTCCATTGAATGCAGGGCAGGAGGCTCTTATCTCCCCAGCTATTCTAGGGACCATTTTCCCCTGGATGGTAGCAGAGACAGCAGGAGTGAGCTTTTGCCACAGAAAATCAACAAAAGATGTAATGGAGGATGCACCTTGGCAGGAAATCTTGAAACTCATGAAAAAATCGTCTTTCTTTTGTTCTAGATATTTTACAGGATCATTTGCTCTTCTAAATGCCCTATGCCTTTCCTTAAAATGCTTTGTTGCTTTTTGAAATAAATATGAAGATAATTCAATGTTGTATTCGCTCGTAAATATATATCTATTCTTGGTGTGTTCAGATTTTCCTTCCTCTTCTATTATTCTCAGGATTTGATGGAAGTCACTTTGATCATAATCACGTAGTTGATTCATAATACTTTCAATATATTCATTAAATCTTGAAAAAATAYGATCAGTAGTCATATCAATGGACACTTTATCACAGGCCTGTAAACTCTTTGGGACAATGAAATAGTCCTTACACATCTTGACATGTTTTCCAAAATCTAGCTGAAAATTCTTTCCAATATTTCTYTTTAGTTTTTCTACTATGTTTTTCTCTTTTCTGAAATGTTCCAAAAGGATGTGTTCAGCATCCACATCAATTTTAGGCTCTGTGGCTTGAGGGAGATCTGAGGAAACTTCACAAACCCATTTTCCCCAAAGTTGACTGAATTTCTCATATAACTCTTCATCACTCAACTTYTTACCTTTTACTCTTAAAGCCAAGTTTTGGCTCTTCTTCAATAATTCATTTTCATATACATTCTTCTTCTGTTCTAGTTGTTCTTGATTTTTTTTGAGACGAATAAGTTCATGGGCTTTTCTCTTGGTGCCTGAAATAAGTGACTCTTTAAGGATTAGTAGCTTATTTTGAAAATAGGCTTTCCTTTGGACAAGTATCTCTCTCTCTGGGTCTTCAGTAAAATATTTTTCAAGTASTTGCTTGATGGTTTCATATTTCTCTGTAAGTGGACATTCAATTATGCTTGATGTGAGTGTCAGAATTTTTCTATTCCTAATCTGGTTGTGAAGCTGGTGCTGCAAGTCCAACATATGACTCCGGAGCTCCCAGGTCCAGTGGTTATACATGGTTTCCAGTTTGCTCATGGACATGACCTTTTGGGTGTTTCTGAAACTGGAAATGAAGTTCTCACTTACCAGGGCTCTCCACAAATCTTGAACTCTGAATTTTACATCTGATATCTTCATGATGCTTCCCCTGGATTCCTGTTTGGCAGTTAAAAGAATTGTACTTTTCAGTTCCTGGACATTRTGGCTATAACGAGGATTGGGAGGGGCCATGGGGGGATTGCCATCCCAAAGGTGAGCAAAGTAGTACACGTGAGTATTGACATCAAACTTGATGACATCACTGAAGTGAGTGACATCTGAGCACTCTTGTTTAGCAGCCAGTGCGGCCATTTCATCTAGCCTCTGCTCTAACCGCCTTCGTCCTTCTGTAGTTTGGTCTTTAGCTGTAACTTCTACATTCTGATGGACGAATATGAACCTGGGGGAAATTTTCACTTGTTTCATCCTCAGAAAGGCTGGGATTACTATCTGTAGGATTTCTTGTATTTCTGATGGATTCTCCCCAAATATATTGATCAGAGTCAAGTTTGCAAGCCCAATGACAAAGGTGGCTAACTCGTTGTCCCAGTTCTGGGATTTGTTGCTGAGTTCTGGGGCCCGAAGTCCTTCTGTGTCTACAACCAGCAAAAAGTCAAAGCCAAGTTCCTCTGTGGATGTCTCTTCTACCTTTAGGAGCTGCATGTAGGCCCCCTTGGTACACCTGCCTGCACTTACASTGAACTGCAGCCCAAAAAGAGCATTCAGTAGGGTGGACTTCCCAGAGCTCTGTAGGCCAAGGACAGAGAGGACAAAGAGCCGTTTGTCTCCAAGTTTCTCAGAGAGCTTGTCAAAAACAGCTGCCATCCATTTTAAGGGCACATAGGAAGCATCTCCATCTATCAGCTCTATGGGGACACCAGCTATCATCAGGTCTGCAACAATTTGGGGAAGGAAGAGAAAAACTATATCATTTGTGGAGGAAGTTTCTTCCAGAGCTTCATAGATCTGGCCAACCTCTCTGAGAAATTGCTCAATTCCTAAGGTATAGTCACTAATCTTCTTTTGGCAGAGTTCCAAAGARTTGCTGCTTTGGGAGCTTTGCTTTTCTGTTTTCACAATTGACCACAAATGAATTAGCTTTTCATGTAGGTTCTCCAAATGCTCTGCAGTCAACCTATCTAAAAACACACTCATCCATTGCAAGAAGTAGAGTGTGGTGTGAGTTTCTGAATAGCGGTAGAGAAT